GCCTGGCCCGTGGGCCCGGGAGGTCCTTCTGCTCCCTGTGAGGAGGAGTTGCTATCAGGAAGGGGGGTACGAGCCCCCCATCAAGGTGCCCCCCCAAAGCAGGGAGCCTCAGAGTTAAGTGAGAACAAAGGTCTCCAGCATTTTCTTCTTTTTGGTCAGTCGTGGGGCCTGAACTCTGGGCCTGGGTGCTGTCCCTCAGCTCTTTAGCTCAAGGCGAGCGCTCTACCACTTGGGCCACAGTGCCACTTCCGGTTTTCTGAGTGGTTTATGGGAGATAAGAGTCTCATGGGCTTTTCTGCTTAGGCTGGCTTTGAACCGAGATCCTCAGATCTCAGCCTCCTGAGCAGCTAGGATGACAGGCGTGAGCCACTGATGCCCAGCAACTCCAGCATTCTATAAAGTTTGTAGGGCTCCCCTCACATTCCCTCTCTTCAGTCTTGACCTTAATGATTCTGTGTGTGTGTGTGTGTGTGTGTGTGTGTGTGTGTGTGTTCCAGTGCTAGAACTTGAACACATGGCCTGGGCGCTATCTCTGAGCTTTTGTGCTCAAGGCTGGCGCTCTACCACTTGAGCCACAGCACCACTTCTGGCTTTTTTTGCTGAATCATTGGACAGAAGAGTCTCAGGGACTTTCTTTTCTGGGCTGGCTTTGAACTGTGATCTTTAGATCTCAGCCTCCTGAGCAGCTGGGATTACAGACATAAACTCCTGGCACCTGGTCTGGACTTACAACCTAAGTCTTACCTCTAGTCTTCACAGCCACTTCTAGGTTCTTTATAGAGGGGCTTCCTGACACCCCATGAACACCCTCCCATTCAGTCCCTGAATCCCCCCTCCTTATTGCTGGTCCATTCAGGCTTCTGACCCTCCAGATCCCCCTCCCCCTAATTCTCCTATAAACTCACCTTCACCCCGTCCTCTCCTGGGGGACCAGGCAGTCCCACGTGGCCAACGTCACCCTGGAGTGGGGGACAGAGGGGAGATGGGAGAGGAGACACCCACACACTCATCAGGAGAAGAGAGGAGTTTGGAAGCCAAGACACTGGTGGCTCCCGCCTCTAATCCCAGCTACTCGGGAGGCTGAGATCTGAAGATCCTGGTTCAAAGTCAGCTTCCGCAGGAAAAAAAAAATCCATGAGACTGTTATCTCCAAAAGCTGGCAGTGGACATGGGGTTCAAAGTGGGAGAGCACCAGCCTTGAACACAAAAGCTCATGGACAGTGCCCAGGCCCTGAGTTCAAGTCTCAGGACCAACACCAAGAGAAGGCACAGGAGAGGTGAACTTAGACTCAGGCCTTGAGGATGACAGAGGGGCGGAATCAAGGGGGGGTGGATGGGGACAGGAATCAACTACTCACCCTTTGGCCTTTCTCACCAGGCAGGCCTGGTAGACCATCAAAACCTCGATCACCCTGTGCAAAAAGACACCAGCTGAGTCCTGAACCCTTGACTCAAACAGTCCCCACCACCGCCCAGTCCTACTGTAGAGCTGACCTTAGGTCCTGTGTCTCCCGGGAGGCCCCGAGCCCCATCTGCTCCAGAGCGGCCCTAAAGGAAAGGGGGCCCAAGACTCAAAGATAAGCCTTCCCTCCCCCCCAGACTCAAAGATAAGCCTTCTCTCCCCCCAAAAAAAATTGGGAGCTCCAGTCATCATCTACATGCATAGGACATGCTGGGTACAGTGGCTCACGCCTGTAATCCTGGCTACTCAGGAGGCTAAGATTCAAAGATTACAGTTGGAAGCCAGTCCAGGAGACTCTTATCTCCAGTGAACCCCCAAAGAGCTGGGGCTCAAGTGGTAGAGTGCTAGCCTTGAGCAAAAATAAAAAAAGCTCAAGGACAGCGCCCAGGCCCAGAGTTCAAACCCTAATACACACACACACACACACACACACACACACATCTATGTCTTGTTATTGAGTTCTGTGCTGTGAACTTCTCTGAGTACAAACTTCATCTGGCAAACACATCTCCACTGCACCCACTGACATTAGTCAGGCACTGGTGGCTCACTCCTGTAATCCCAGCTACTCAGAAAGCTGAGATCTGAAAAACATGGATCAAAGCCAGCCCCAGCAGGAAAGTCCATGAGACTCTTATCTCCACTGAACCACAAAAAAAAAAAAAAACCCCAAAGGTAGAGCTAGAACCTTGAACAAAAATGCTCAGGAACAGCACCCAGACCCTGAGTTCAAGCCCCATGACTGATTATTTTTTAAGATTCCCATCTTCAAGCCAGGTGTGATAGCGCACACCTACAATCCCAGCCTCGTGAGAGGCAGAGGTAGCAGAATCGCAGCCCGAGGCTGGCCCAGGGCAAGAGGGAGAGAGACAGACAGACAGAGACAGAGAGCAGGCCTAACTGAAAAATAAGCGAAAGCAAAGAAGGGATGGGAGTGTGGCTCCAGTAGTAGAGCACCGGGCTAGCAAGACCAAAATGCGGAGTTCCAATTCAACATACCGCGCATGCGCACGCACGCACGCGCACACACACACACCACACACACTCACACCACACACACCACACGCGCGCACGCACACCACACACCCACACCACACACATACATGCACACCATGCACACACACACCACGTACACACACCACACGCACACACACACCACACACACTACACACACACACGCACATCACACACACGCACACAAACACCACACACACTACACACACACGCACACCACACACATACACCACACACACACCACACGCATGCACGCACACAACACACACACATCACACACATGCACACACACCACACACACACCACACACATGCACACCACACACATACACCACACACACGCATGCATGCATGTGCATGCACACACACCACACACGCACACACCACACATGCACACCACACACACGCACACCATGCACACACCACACACACACACGCACACCATGCACACACCACACACACACGTGTGCACTCACGCACACACACACCACACACACAAACACACACATGCACACACATACCACACACACACCACACACATACCACACACAAACACACACACGCACACCATGCACACACACAAACACACGCGTGCACACACACCACACACACAAACACATGCACGCGCGCACACACACAAACACACACACACCACACACGCGCGCACACACACACCACACAAACACACACATCACACACACACACCACACACACACGCACACCACACACAGGTACACCACGCACACCATGCACACACACGCACGCGCACACACACACCATGCACACACACCACACACGCACGCGCACACACACACCACACACACACACACACACACCACACACACAAACACACACCACACACATGCACACACACACACCACACACATGCGCACGTATGCATGCACACACACACACATGCATTCTCCTTGCTGGGTGTGTGAATTTCTGGGCCCTGGGCTGCACTTGGGCTTGCAAGCTGACCGCACCCCCAGAGCCCAGCGCTCTGCTCCTGCCAACGACACCCAGACCCCCCCCAACAGCCAGGTCAGGCTGAGGGCTGGGCAGGTGGATCGGGGTGATCTGGGGACCCAGGAGCTACTCACCATCTTGCCCTCTTGGCCGGGAGGCCCAGGGGGGCCCTGCAGTCCTCGGGGACCCTAGAAGAGAAAAAAAGGAGGGAGGGAGGGAGGAAGAAGGAAGGAAGGAAGGAAAGAAGGAAGGAAGGAAGGGAAGGAGGGAGGGAGGGGGAGGGAGGGAAAGAGAGAAGGAGGAAGAAAAGGAAGGAGGGAGAGGAAGAAAGAAGGAAGGGAGGGAGGAGGAAAGAAAGAAGGAAGGAAGGGAAAAAGAAAAGGAGGAAGGAAAAAGAGGGAGGGAGGAGGAAGGAAGGAAGGAAGAAAGGAAGGAAAGGAGAGAGGAGAAATGTGAGGGGGAAGAAAGAAAATGAGAGAGGGAAGATGGGAAAAAGGAAGGGAGAGAGGGAGAAAAGAAGGAAGAGAGGGAGGGAGAGGAGGAGAGAGGGAGAGGAGGAGGGAGGGAGGAGAAAAGGAGGAAGGAAGAGGGAGAAGGAAGAAAAAAGAGGGAGGGAAGAGGGAGGGAGGGAGGGAGGAGAGGGAGAGAGGGAAGGGAGGGCGGGTCAAGCAGAGGACATGTTTCCTGTGGGACGCTGGGGGAATTTCAGGCGTTCCCAGCATCGCTGACACCTCCCTGGGGGCCACCACACCCCACCCTCCCGGAGCTCACCTGTGGCCCCGCTTCTCCCAAGTCCCCTTTCAGACCTGGATATCCAGGGAGACCCTTGGAGGAGGAGACATGGGGGTGCGGTCAGAGGGGGTGAGGACCGTCTCCGTGGACAGAGGTTCCCCCAGATATGTGTATCTTACCACAGGGCCTGGGCGCCCGGTGAGCCCCACGGGGCCGGGGGGGCCTTTCATGGAGAGCTGAAAAGACAGAGCGAACGGAGCCCCAAGTCTCGCATGAGCACCCCCATCACCAGCAGTCCCTACAAAGGGGCTTCTCTGGTTTCCCAATATGTCCCCCCTCCCAGATGTGTAGATGGAAGCCACAGGTGGCTTCTCTGGGAGGTTAAGATGGGGATCCCAGGGGTGAGGCCCCTAAGATGGCCTGCCTCCTGCTGGCTCTGTGGTACCCTCTGCCATGGCATGCAGCAGCAAGACGCTGCCACCAGGGGGCAGCACCATGCGCTTCAGCTTCTCAGCTCTTGGAACTCACTGTCTGGGGTTTGGGGGAGCTTTGTTGTTGTTGTTAGACCCAGGTATTTTATTCCAGCAAGGGAAACCCAAGACTGACATCTTTAGGAGACAGAAGTCCCCCCAACCCCTGACCAGCCCTTCACTTCATCGCTGTCACCTCGCATAGTCACAGTCCCTCCAATATACACACACACACACACACACACACACACACACCTGGGCCTGCTGCAGGACTGCCTGGGCCTGAGCCTGCTGAAAGGAGACTGGGGGTCCTTTGAAGGAACCACTTGTAAACTGGAACTAAGAGAAATCACAGGTGAGGAAAGCAGCAAGAAGCGTCCCCCCCCGCCCCCCCCCGCCCCACAGCATTCCCTTGTCCTCCATCAGAACTCCTCCCCCAGGGGTGGAGCTCTCCTTACCGGCATCATGATCACAGTGCCAGGGGGGCCCCGAACCCCATCAATGCCAGGGATCCCTGGAAGGCCAGCAGGGCCCTGAGAGAAAGATCAAGAGACAAAGATGGCTCACAGCTGTCACCCTAGCTACTCAGGAGACTGGGATCTGAGGGTCCCGGTTCAAAGCCAGCCCGGGCAGGAAAATCTATTGTTGTTGGTCGTGGGGCTTGAACTCTGGGCCTGGGCGCTGTCTCTCAGCTCTTCAGCTCAAGGTTAGCGCTCTACCACTTGAGCCTCAGCGCCACTTCTGGCTTTTTCTGCTTAGGTGGTGCTGAGGAATCGAACCCATGGCCTCAAGCAATGCCAGAGCTGCCGTGGTCTCCCCAGACCCAGTCCCTCTCACGCATGCTTCAAGCTCCCAACCGGAAATCTCATCCCCCTACTGGAGCCACACCACAGGGAGTCTCTTACCGGAAGACCGCGGTCCCCTGGAAATCCTGGGGGACCAGGAGGTCCTGAAGGACCAACAACTCCCTGTTGGGGACAGAGAAACAAAAGTCACAGGAAATGCAAAATTTGAGCCAGATGGAACTCAACCAACCTCTGACCCCTGACCCCTGACCTCCAGCTCTCAAGGCCTACTAAACCCTTAATATACACTGAACCCCATACCTCAACCCTTATTTTCATTCATCCTTTGGACATCAAATATCCAGGCACCCCAATTCCCCAAAGGCTTAACTACTCCACTCCTCACTCAGACAGGAAAGAGCCAGGTATAGTGTTGCATGCCTGTAATCCCAGCACTCAGGAGGCCGAGGCAGCAGGGTCATAAGTTCCAGGCCAACCTGGGCCACATAGGAAGACTGTCTCCAAACAGAGGAGGAAGGAGGGGAACATGGTCATTACTTACTCGTGGTCCTGGGGATCCCGGAGGTCCTTCAAATTGCTGACCCTAGAGACAGAAATAGGCATGACCCCTGTCCAAGAGAGCCCCTCAGCCCCGGCGCAGACTCCGCCCCTCACCTGCTCTACCACAGCTGGTTCTCCTTTTTCTCCCTTCTCTCCAGTGCCCTGGGGACAGGAGTGGGGAGAAAAGAGATGTAAGCCATGCCCACGCTTCCATACACAGCACCCACCCTCTCCATCTGCATCCCCTCCTTTCTTCAGCCAATAGGCATCAAGCTCAGACTCCTCCACCAATCAGGCAGTGCTATATCATGAAGGGCCCCACCCTCTCCCATCTACATCCCATCCTTTTGTCAGCCAATAGGCATTGGGCTCAGTCTCCTCCACCAATCAGGTAGTACTGTATCACAGTGACGCGCTCTCCCTCTCCATCTGCATCCATCCTTTCTTTAGCCAATAAGCATCGAGCTCTCTGTCCTCCACCAATCAGGAAGTGCTATCTCAAGGCAAAAGGCCCCACCCTGTCCATCTGCATTCTATCCATTCTTTTTTTTTTTTTGCCAGTCCTGGGACTTGAACTCAGAACCTGGGCACTGTCTCTGAGCTTCTTTTCTACCACTTGAACCACAGCACCACTTCAGGCTTTTTTCTTTGTATGTGGTACTTAGAAATTGAACCGGGGGATTCGTGTGTGCTAGGCAAGCACTCTACCACTAAGCCACATTCGTGCATCCCATCCATTCTTTAGCCAATAAGCATTGAGCTCAGTCTCTCCTCCACCAATCAGGCAGTACTGTATCACAGCGAAGGGCCCACCCACTCCATTGGGTCCCATCCTTTCTTTAGCCAATAAGCATTGAGCTCAGTCTCTCCTCTACCAATCAGGCAGTGCTATTCAAGGCAAAGGGCCCCACCCTCTCCATCTGTATCTCATCCATTCTCTAGCCAAGAAGCTCAGTCTCCTCCACCAATCAGGCAGGGCTACCTCCAGGTCAAGGGTCTGATCTCCTGAGGGCCCTCATCCTGGCTCTGCCTCAGACCAGCTCAGTGATTTGGGGAAGTTAGTCAAAGCCTATGGCCAGTTGCAGGTCATAGGTCATCTGTTTTGGGGATTGAGTGAATGGTAATGGTCTACGTCCCCAGTGAGGATGAAGGAGTTAAAACGATGCTCGGTACTGTTCTAAGCCTTGCTCCCCAACTTTCACCACCTCCCCTGAATTCCAGCTTGGCGAGTCTATTCAGGGCGTGCTCTGGGCTAGCCTCCAATTGGACCCTGCCTACCTCTGTGCCCTACCTCTGGGGCCATCGGCACATGGCATCCCAACCAGCTTGTCTGTGGAGGTGGGATCCCACTAACTTTTGGTGGTGGTGGTGGTCGTGGGGCTTGAACTCTGGGCCTGGGCGCTGTCCCTGGGCTCTTCAGCTGGCGAGCACTCTACCACTTGAGCTACAGTGCCACTTCCTGTTTTCTGGTGGTTCATTGGAGATAAGAGTCTCACGGACTTTCCTCCCGGGCTGGCTTTGAACTGTGATCCTCAGATCTCAGCCTCCTGAGCAGCTGGGATGACAGGCATGAGCCACCGGTGCCTGGCCCCAACTTTTTCTTGCTTATTCTACAGGTTTCTTTGTTGCCCTGGCTACCTTCCTCTGCTGTCCACCTGCAGAGTAGCCCCCTCCCCCCCCCACTGGACTTACAGGAAAGATCTGGAACTCAGTTCTAGATGGCTGTTCTGCTGCTCGGAATTCAGGACCCACAGTTGGGTGGTCTCCTGCTTCATCCTCCTCGGCCGGGTCAACCTCAGGGGTCCTCAGCTCGATTCCACTGCCAGGGTCCTTCTCCCCCGAGGACAAAGGGACAGGCCTGGTTTGTACCTGATCTTTGACTGCAGGCCACACACACCCCTCCAGGATCTCCCCTTTCCAGAACCATCCACCTGCCACTGACCTGGAAGATGGTGACATTGTGGCCAATGGTCACAGTAGTGGTGACAACCTCAGGTGTGGCAGTTGGGGACAGGGCTGGCACTGGTGTCTCCGTGTTGGGGACAGCAGCGGAGGTCTGGAGTGGATGAGTATCAGGAATCTGGGGTCAGGTTGATTCAATACGGAGGGAGAGCCAGGCATCAGTGGCTCACGCCTGTAATCCCAGCTATTCAGGAGGCTGAGATCTGAGGATCGTGGTTCAAAGCCAGCCGAGGCAGGAAAGTCTGTGAGACTCTCATCTCCAACAAACCTCCAGGAAACCAGAAGTGGCGCTGTGGCTCAAAGTGGTAGAGCACTCACCTTGAGCGGAAAAAGCTCAGGGAGAGTGTCCAGGCCCTGAGTTCAAGCCCCATGACGGACAAAACCAAAAACCAGAAATGTGGGCTCCCCTGGTGGCCAGCCAGGCTGCATGGGCGGGGCCAGGGAGCAGAGCCCAGCTAACTCCACAGCCCAGAGGTCAAGGCCAAGGTCAGTGCTCAGAGTCAGACTTCTGGCAGCCTAGCACCCTCCACCCCCACCCCCAACCCCCTCCCCCACCCCCGGCGTCTCCCAGGGCAGAGCTCAGCAGCCAGCCAGCCAGGCTGCAAACATGATCAGCACCTTCCGGCCTGGACAGCTGCAAAAGTGATCTGGGTGGAAGGAAGTGAGGGGGAGGGGCAAGGAGACCTAGGAGGCGGGTGTGGAGCTGCGGAAGGTTCTGGAGTGAAGCACTCCTGGTGTCTGCGTTGTGGGACAGAAAGATCTGGGATTGAGTTGTGGGACAACCAGTGACCCCTCAAACCAATGACCAGATCCCCTTTCTACAGCAGTGATCCAAGGGTATCCCATCCCCATTTATAATCTCCATCAACGGCTCAGCCACCCAGAGACCTTCTCAATCTGTGACCCCCCAACAAGCAATACCCACCTTAGTGACCCCCTACAACAATTATTCCTCCAACAATGGACACCCTTCACTGACCCCAAACCATGCTCCAATGAGGAGACCCACCCAAAGAAACTAATTCTGCTACCCAATAGCACTTCGGTAACTCGTGTGTGTGTGTGTGTGTGTGTGTGTGTGTGTGTGTGTGTGTACACGCGTTTGCATATCAATCCTAGGGCTTGAACTCAGGGCTTGGGTGTGCTGCCTTGACCTTCTTTTTACTCAAGGCTAGAGCTCTGTTGCCTGAGCCACAGCTTCACTTTGGGCTTTTTGGTGGTTCATTGGAGATAAGAGGCTCATGGACTTTCCTGCCTGGGCTGGCTTTGAACCCTGATCCTCAGCTCTCAGCCTCCTGCGTAGCTAGGATGACAGGCGTGAGCCACCTGCCCCTGGGTACGCCTAGCTGCTTTGGGAGAGGCTGTCCTGGAGTTTGAACTAAAGGCTTTATGCTTGCTAGGCAGGCAATTTCACCACTCGAGCCACGCCCCCAGCCCTCTTTTGCTTTAACTAGTCTTCCAGGTAGGGTCTGTGTGTTTGGGGTGAACCTAGTCCGTGACTGTTGGAGGGGTTTTGGTTGGTCTAAAATTGGGACTTGAACTTGGGTATCTGACGCTTTCTTTCACTGGCAGGCTCTCTACCACCTGAGCCACGCCCGCCACCCACGATTCTCCCATCTCTTCCTCCCTTGTAGTTAGCATAAATAGGGCTACATCCCTTCTGGGTTGTGGGGTTGAGATGGGGTCCTCCTTGGTGTGCAGTCACCATCTGAGAGCAACCAAAGATTGGAGGAGCAAGGTTGGACGGAGGAGTCGGGGATCTACGGAGGTGAAGGGTCACAGGTGTGCCTTACCTGGTTCTCCAGGGTGCCAGCGGGGGTCGAACTTGGGGCCAACGATTCCTTGTTCTTCTTCCTGCCCTTCCCTTTGCGACCACGCCCTTTCTTCTTCCCTTTCCCTTTCCCTTTCCCCTTGCGTCGAGGGGGAGGGGTTGGGGTCCCTGACTCTTCCTGGGGGGTCTGGAAAGAGGATCATGGTCAGGCCTGGTGCACCCCGCTCTCCCCCAGGAAAGATGGTCACCTGGGATCCCGTGGGATCTATCCACTAATGCAGAATTCTCATTCCTGAGAGTTGGAGTCAGGGTGACTCAGGGTGGGTAGGGCCATAACTCACACGCACACACACACACACACACACACTCACCCCTGTGGTTGTGGGATCCGCGGGTTCGCAGCCGGGGAGGTACTGCTCGCAGGCCTGGAAGGCGGCCTGGGGGTCTGGGATTATCACAAGTTCCTGGATGTCCCCCTTGAGAGAGGATGGGGACAGGGGAAAGTTACAGGCTCACCCCAGGTACTCCTCTGGGCACCCCAAGTGCGTGTGTGTGTGTGTGTGTGTGTGTGTCAGTCCTGGGTCTTGAACTCAGAGCCTAGGAACTGTTCCTGTGCTCTTTCCTTCAAGGCTAGTGTTTTACCACTTGAGCCACAGCGCCACCTCCGGCTTTCTGGTGATTCTCTGGAGACAAGAGTTTCATAGACTTTCTCACCCAGGCTGGCTTTGAACCGCAATCCTCCATATCTAGAGGCCTGTCTGGGACAGGGGCTTTGCTCAGCCCAGGGCCTGGGGGTCAGGGAAAAATGCATCTACACAGAACAGATGTTGGCCGGGACCTCTGGGTACGAAGTATGCGTGACATGAATACAATCTTTCCTTCTCTGAGCTTCTGAGGGTGACAAAGGTCACCACCCCTTCCTGATAAGTGGGGTGTAATACTCGACTGAGCAGGGCTCCGGTGGCTCACGCCTGCCATCCCAGCTACTTAAGGAGGCTGAGATCTGAGGATCGCGGTTCAAAGCCAGCCCGGGCAGGAACCTCCGTGAGACTCTCATCTCCAATTAGTCCCAGAAAAAATCCAGAAGTGGCGCTGTCGCTCAAGTGGTAGAGCGCTCGCCTTGAGCGGAAGCAGTTCAGGGACAGCGCCCAGGCCCGGAGTTCAAACCCCACAACAACAAAAATAATTCAAAGCCACCCTCTGCCTCAGTTTCCCTCCTCTCTCAACTCCCTACCTCAAAACTCTCTTCCTGAATCTCCTGGGTCCCCAACACAATGTGTCCAGCCGTACTGATGACCCCAGGTCCTCTCCCGGAGACAGACGGCTGGCGTTCACAGTCAGTGACCAGCGTGGCCACGTCGCCATCCACGCTGAGCGCCACGCGGTGCCACCTACCAGGGCGGGAGAAGGGAGAGGGGTCTCAGTGCTAGGGTGTCTCACCCGGCGGCAACTTGGGGACCCCCCTCCTCCTTCAATATTCTCACCTGCCATCTGTGAGGTTGACAGGTGGAGGGAGGGGACGCCAGGAGGCGCCTACGATGCCCAGGCCTGGCCCCAGCGCCAGCCCCAGCTGCCGGGCGCCCCTTTCATCATAAATAGACAGCAGAATGGAGCGCCCAGCTGGCCGGGCACGCAGAGCGGCCAGCACAGAGAAGTTCTCAGGAAATCGCCCGTCTGAGTGGAAGGAGAGGAAAGGGGTGTGTTGGGGGAGGGGAGAGACAGG